AACCCTAAACCCTAAACCCTTCCCACCTTTGGGAATCCCAACCCGGCGATGGTCTGAATCCACCCTCGGCTCTCAGTCAGGCTTGGGGTTTAGGGGTTTAGGGGTTTAGGGGTTTTGGGGCTTCGGGCTTCAGGAGTTGGGGGTTTAGGGTTTAGGGTCTGGGGGTTTAGGGTTTAAGGGGTTTTGGGGCTTAGGGTTTCAGGGTTTCGTTTGAGGGGCTTTGGGGTTTAGGGGTTTAAGGTTTAGGGTTTAAGGGTTCAGGGTTTAGGGTTTGGGGTTTCGGGTTTAGCCGACAAAGCCGGGCTTGTTAGAGGGGGATTTAGCGTGGGTTAGGTTAGCCTTCCCTAAACCCTAAACCCTAAACCCTAAACCCTAAACCCTAAACCCTAAGATACAGAGCTACATTGGTATGAGCTACAGGTGCACTCGACACCCTAAAACCAAAACTCCTGAGCCGTCAACACTTCGGGCATTGGGCTTCCGGGTTTAGGGTTTAGGGTTTAGGGGTTTAGGGTTTAGGGTTTAGGGTTTAGGGTTTAGGGCTGTAGAAGTTGTCGCAGTAGTGGTTTGAAGCAGGAGTAGGCGTAGCTGTAGTAGACGTACCTAATCGTAGGACATGGCGTAGCAGTAGTGTGCATTCACGGCCGCGCCGCGAGAAGTCACTAATTCAAGCGACCCTAAAGCCTAAACCTTGAACCCCAACACCACCAAAGGTACCGGGTTGCTTGTGACTACTCAGTGGGACTCTGTGCGTGCCCATTGGGAACTGGAGGTGGGGGTTTAGCGCTTTAGGGTTTCGGGCCTTCGAGGGCGAGGTTTTAGGGCCTTGAGGGTCTGTAGGTTGTGCGTACTCTGTGTTTTTGGGCTGTGAGGGTTTAGGTCTAGGGTCTGTTGTTCGGGCTTTTGGGTGGTTTTTTAGGGTTGAGGCTGTTTACGTTTTGAGGTTAAGGTCTGTTAAGGAACAAACACCAACATCATTCTTTCAGTTCCCTTCCTATAGCTGTAGTTGTTCAGTATAGCCTAATAGTTTTCCGTTGCGTTCCTTACTATATCCCTTTCCTTTTGAATACTCTAAACCCTAGACTAAACCGTAAACCCCTAAGCCCCTAAACTTTAAACCCTAAACCCCTAAACTTTAAACACCCTATACTTTAAACCCAAAGCCTTAAACCCAAACCCTAAACCCTAAACCCTAAACCCTAAACCCCTAAACCCTAAACCCCTAAAGCCCTACACCCTAGTTTAGGGTTTGGGGTAGAGTCTGGGGCTTCAGGGTTTACAGCGAAAGGGGGGTCCGCTGCAGAAAAAGTGGGCTCTCGATGCGGAAGCCCTTTTTCTAGAACCACCTGAACCCTAAGGGTTTAGGGTTTAGGGTTTAGGGTTTTAGGGTGTAGGGTTTTAGGGGTTTTAGGGGTTTTAGGGGTTTTAGGGGTTTAGGGGTTTAGGGGTTTAGGGTTTAGGGTCTAGGGGTTTAGGGGTTGAGGGTATAGGGGTTTAGGGGTTTAGGGCTTTAGGGGTTTAGGGGTTTAGGGGTTTTGGTTTAGGGTTTAGGGTTTAGGGTTTAGGGCAGCGCCACCCACACCACACACCACGGTGACCACATCACTTCAGCATGAGCTGACTCCTCAAAACTCTACGGCCGCAACCCATGCAA